GTGTGAGTCGAACAGGGTCCCCACCACCCCCGCCTCCTCGGTCACGTCCGGGGGGGAGCCCCAGGGCAGCCACCTGCGTGTGTGTGTGTGTATGTGTGTGTGTATGTGTGTGTGTGTGTCTTAGTGACCTGGTCCGTGGGAAGAAGCTAGGACGCCATGTACTTACAAATGTATGTATGTATGTATGTCACATCCATATACAAACAATAAAGAGAGAGGACACCAAAGGCACCAAGGAAAACAAAGACACTGCCGTGCCACGTAATGCCGCCGGCGGGAGACAGGAAGAGCGGAGGGGGGAACCACACTTGTGTGTGGGGGGGTGGGGGGGTGGGGTGGGGTGGGGGGAGATGATTTGTATGAGGAGGAGGGTAGTACTGGTGGAGGGCGATCAAAGCAGTTGGACCCCCACCGCCGTACACGCCGTCAAGTCCTCCCTTTGTTGCATGAGCCTTTGCCATGTATGCGACACCACACCACACCACACAACACGAGATCCTAGGCACAAGCCTGAGCCATTTGCCTTTTCCTACATCCCCCCACCTAGCACCCCTCCTTCCCCCCCCACCTAGCACCCCCCCTCCCCCCCCTCCACCTGATCGGCCCTGGTCTCCGGTGCAGCACCACCGCATGCACACCGGAGCCCCATGTCGTACCCGCCGCATGCGGGTCGGCGCGCTGCAGCCCCCGCGGCAGCCGACTGAACACCAGGCTGAAGAACGGCAGCGCCACGGAGTCATGGCGCTGCGGCACGGAGGACCAGCCCACAGACCCCGCCTCCCACAGGGACACCGGCAGCAGCGCCAGCAGCGAGGGCGCCCCACCGCGACCCGGCCTGGAGGCACCTCCGTAGCCGTTACGGGCCCCCGACATCACCAACGGCGTCGTCACAGCTCGTTCTAAGTCCTCACGGGAGCGGAAACGGCAGTAAGCCATATGTGCCGTGGTGGAGGGTGTGGCGGGGGCAGTATCCTCAGTGCTGGCAGCAGCGACGGCGGCGGCGGCAGATGCAGCGGCCAGGGTAGGTGGCTTGTACGGCAGTACGAAGGGTCGGTAGTCAAAGTCGTGTTGTTCTTGTAGCAGCACTGATAACGTATCCAGCTCCATGTCCTCAAGGGCGGGGCCGCCCACCACTGCCCAGAACTGCTCCTCATAGCTCCATCGCTCCAGGGCCTTACATACAAGTAGACAGACACACATACATATGTACGCACACAAGTACGGGGAGGAAAGGGCGGGCGGATGGGGGGCGGTAACAGGGTTTCAGGAGACGGAGTGCAACGCAACAGGGGATAGAGCTAGCAGGGAGAAGGAGGAGCAAGAGGAAGAGGATGAGGAAGTTCTTCTCCCACCTAACTCATCTACCTTACTTCCCCCCCCCCCACTGCCCCCCACTCTCCCCCACTCACTCACCTGGCAGGAAGCCTCATGCTCCAGCAGCACCTCCACCAACAGGGGCTGGAACTCCACCACGCCGCTCAGCAGGGCCAGAGTCCGGGCATCCGCACGGCGACCCCGGCACGTGCCCCACACCAGGCGGCGAGCCAGGTTGGCGTCTGAGGCCAGACTGCCGTACGGAGGGGAGAAGAAGGGAGGGGAGAAGAAGAGAGGGGAGGCATGTGAACGGGGAGGCGGGTCAACTTACGGTTGTAGGCAATCGCATTGCATACATACAGGCAAACACACCTGGGAGTACGGCAGGTACCCGGTATAGCCCCCTCCGCTTGCCTTAGACCCCCCCTCCCCCCCTTTCCCCCCCCCGCCCCCACCTGAGCAACTTGGCCTCCACCTCCCGCCGCACATCCGGGGACACGTCCCCCCACATCAGCAGCTCCAACATCACCTGGATGGAAGATAACCAGGAGGACGTGTACGAGCAACACGACATCCGTACCATACGCAAGACCACATCCTGGTGGGGGGAGGGGGCGGGGCAAACCCAAGGGAGAGAACCAGGGTATGAGACCGTCGGGGCGGTGAGGGCCCCTGGCAAGGCGGGGCGGGGAGAGCTTGCAGCGGTGCCCCGGGTAGAGGGAGGATAGCTGTACGGACAGCGGGCATCGTGTCGGGAGGGTACTGGTGTAGGGGGGTGGGGAGAGACCACAATCAGCAAACACCCAGAGGTTCCCCGGAGGGCCCCCATACACACAAAACCTACACAGGTGAGCCAACCACCACATTGCGGTTGTCCACCCCACACCCCGAACCCACCTCCCCACCCCTAAGCCCCCTAAGCCCCCTATGCCCCCTAAGGACCACCTGCATCTCAAAGGTGCTCCTCAGTGGCCACTTGCGTCTGAGCGGCGGAACCAGTGGAGGCGGGAGGCGG